GAGCCCTTTGCCATCCAGAAGGACCCCAGACCCGAGTGGTGTCTACACTGCCTGCCTCTACGAATGGAGGAGAAAACTGTCCCCCTACCTGCCTTTGTTCCCTCAAAACAGGCAGATCCACACAGACCCTCCAGTTCCGACAGCAATTTACCTCAGCCTCCAGTGATAAATCCGAGCCATAAAAAGTTGGTGGAGGTCAGGCTGGGGTGAACGGGTGCAGGGACACTCTCTCCATTGCCACAGCATCACAAGTCAATGTCCTCTGAGAGTCACATGTTACCATCTTTTCCTCTGTCTCCTAGTCAAGAGCCTAGTCCAAATCAAATCCAAATGAGCACTTCCTCCTGCCCACCTTCTAACTTCTTAGGCCCCTCTCCTGAGAAGCTCAACATGTTGTCATGTATGAAGTCCCAACTTCCCATTCTCCCCTGGTCCCTAAGCAAGGACTTCCCATGCCCCTTCCCCCACACAGAAGCTGCAACTCCCAAGTCTCTTCTAATGAGCTGTGTATGTTTCTCACCTCTAAAATTAGCTGTGAAGGAGGCCAGTTACTTCCCCTCCTGATCCTGCTGTGGGTTAGAGGAAAAGGGAGGGAGCTTCAAGTCTGGATGTGGCGGGGGTTGAGGAGGGGAGGAGGGTCAGGTGACCCTCCACGCTAGGCTGCAGTTTGCTGCTCCCACAACTGCTTTTCGTCCCTAAGTTGTAGCACTCTGACGTGTCGCTCCCTGCAAGTACGAGCATTGCTTTCTTGTGCACAGCCTCCACTACATGCACATGTAAGTTTCCTGTCCCAGCAGCCTCTGTCCCCATGTACTAGCATAATGTTGTTCCTGTTATGATGGTTTGCCCCCTAACCTTGAGATACATGTCACAAAGCCTAAGAAGGCCTCTGCTAACCTTTTAATTTGCTCCTTCATAAGTTCTGGGTTTCTCCACCAGGTTGGGGGAGAGAGAGAGATGGGAGAGGGCATCTCACCACAGGCCACTCACTGCTTTAAGTCCCTGAGCCTTACCTCTTCCCACTTTCTGCTTGGCTTCATGCTTGAAGCCAACAGACTGATACTCCAGACTGAGCTGAGTTGGCCCTGGTCTTCATTGTCATGGCATCTCTATTGTCGTGGGCTGTCGTCAGAGGCTGCTCTCGTGATTGCCCCATTTACGAGGCTGGGTCAAGTGAGCTGGCCTGGGCAGTTTCACACGGGTCCTCCTGGTCTCCTGAGCCTCTCTTGGGGGTTAACTGGCCCTGCCCCTGGAGCTTCTGGAACCCTTTAGCGAGGCACAGGGGATGTGAAACTTGTGAGTGCTAGGAAATCACCAGGGACTGGGGAAGAGGAAAGGCTCCCGGCCTGAGGCAACAAGCTTCCCCTTGCATCACCTGCAGCACCTGCCCAGCTGCTCTTCTGAGGAACTGCCTGTGGGTCCGTGGGGAGTGGGCATCAAGTGCCTGCCTCATGCAAGGTGCCCTTTTCTGAGCTTGTTCAGATTGACAACCTCACTTGCCCTTCACAGGAGGCAGACCAATTGAGAGGAAAGGGCCCAGGCCCTGGAGAGTGATCTGGGCTTGAATCCTGACTCTACCATGAGCAATTTACGTAACATCATAGAGCCTTAAGGTGGCAAATGACAAAAGATAGGGGATCTGGCCTTAGATAAACTTTGGACTAGATCCAGCTGCACAACCTACTTGGTGGGTGCAAAGTAGCACCACCTATCTGAGTCTCAATTTTGTCTTGTGTAAAGAAGGAATAATAATAGTGCCAATAATTAAGATAGCCAGAACAAAGTGCTTATTAGCACACTCCCTCGTACATAGGAAGGACTCAAGGCACTGCATCCTTTATGATTCTCATTGTCATCCAGGTTTCCTTTTGGTGGCCGGTCAGTACAGAGATCAAACCCTGGACCTTGGTGTCATCAGCACCACATTCTAAGCAACTGAGCTAATCATTCAGCTCTGTCATCCAGATTTCTTAACTGCTATATCTATCTTCTAAATAAGTTTCATAGATTATCCTCTTGGCCACATTTATTGGATAACTCTTCCAAAGGAGACTAATATTATGCTTATATTTTCATTCCAACTTCTGCTTTTATGTAGTTTTTTTCTTCTCCTGAGTCTGGGTGAGCATCATTTAAAAAAAATTACTTCTCCTTTTAAGGATGATCTAGAACATTCCTTTCTACAGGTGCTGTGTGTTTTGAGAGAGAGAAAGAGACAGATTGACTAATTTGTTGATTGAGGTCCAGAGTTCCCTCCCATCTACTCCATCCCGCAGGACTCTGCATCAATCCCAGTTAATTCCATGACATCCTCTTTGATTACCGTACTTAGAAGTGATTTCTCTCCCTCCCTTTCTTTCAGATGGTTTTTTATCATTTGCTGTTGTGCTGGTGATTTGAAAGGTGAAGTGACCTCTCTTGCTAGTGGCAGAGCTTTTGAACAGCAGGGCCTTGCTCTATAGAGCAT